AGGGGAAGAAGGAGGAAGGGAGGGAAGAGAAGGGGAGGAAGGACAGAGAAAGGGAGGGATAGAGAGGAGGGAAGGAGGGGAGGGAGGGAGGAAAAGAGGAAGCAAAGAAGGAAGCAAAGAAGGAAGGAAGGAAGGAGGGACAGAGGGAGGGAGGGAGGGAGGGAAGGAAGGAAGGAAGAAGGAAGGAAGGAGGAAGGAAGGAAGGAGGATGGAAGGAAGGAGGAAGGAAGGAAGGAAGGAAGGAAGGAAGGAAGGAAGGAAGGAAGGAAGGAAGGAAGGAAGGAAGACAAACTTGGGCCAGCCAGACTTCTTTCTCCAAAGCAAGGGGCTGGAATCCACAGCGGTCACTTCCTCCTGAGGACTGGAATCACGCAGTCTCAGGGAATCAAGGCTGCAGGTCAGATGAGGCTGCCCACAAGTCTGTGTGTTGGCAGATGGCAGAGACAGAACAAGGGGATAGGCTGGAGAGGAGGGAGCACCCCAGGCCCTGCCTCTAGTCCTTCTTGTTGGGTAGAGATAGATCTCCTGCTCCCCCTGGAGCCCACTGGCTTCTCTACAGCCTCCACAAAGCACAAGCTACCCCCTGAGTAGCCCATAATCAAAGCCTGGTTGAATGTCTATACTCATAGCCCAAAGCCTTGTTTTTGGACAGATAAAGCCAAAGAATAGCAGGTGGGTGCATCAAGCTACCCAGGGCTTTGAGGATAATGATTTCCTCCTGCTTTTTAATCAGCACCAGCTCGTGAAGCCTTTGCCAGTCTGTGAGAGCAGGGAGGGACTGTGGCAGGCGCTGAATCAGCCCCACTGCTCTCCAAGGTCAGTGGCATCAACTGTTTGTTTACAGCCTTCTGGGAGGTGTTCGGTGATATGTAGCACCACAGCACCATCAGGACCAGAGTCCCTACCAATCTGCAGGGCTAAGGTCAGATGCATCAACACAGAGCCTATGCCTAGCCCACAGTCACGGGGCCAAGGTCACTCCAAGATCTGCAGGACCAAGGTCTGAACACACCTCTGAGGCCAAAATCGCCTCCAAAAGAGCCAAAGTGTAGCCCAGACCTACGGGACTGGAGTCAGCCTAGCACCTGCTGAGGGTAGCTGGGGCCCAGAAACTTTTCACAGAGGAGCTGGAGTCTGTTCTTGGAGCATACAGCAGGTGTTTGCAGCTCCATCAGCACCTGCCTCTACTAAGCCATTTTTATATCTGTGACACAATCCAAGCCAGAGCACCAAGGAGAAATAACCCTGCCAACCAGTGACCAGAGTGTGCGGAGAAGGAGAACCCTGGCCAAGAGACCCAGATGACTCACCCTGGCTGCCTTGTGCTTGCTTGCAGCCCTCAACATCCCCACTGTTCCCTGTGTTCCTGTCACCTGGTATGCTTATCTCCCAGGCCCACTCTCTTCCATGTGTAGATAAATTTGACTACATATGCCCCTTGATTGGTCTCCTGGACACCTGCTGCTCTCTGGCCACCACATGGCGTCTGGGCCAACCCACCTGGACTTCATAACAGTGGGGCTACCTGTGAAGGCAAATCTGTCCTCTTCTATTTTCTTTTTGAGGTGTTTGATCTCAAAGTCCCTTTCCTTCAGCAGCTTATGCAGCCGCCCGCTCTCATCGACTGTCTCCCTGAGCTCATCGCGAAGCTGCTGGATCTCATCTTCAAGTACCCTGCAAGGGAAAGGAGAACTGGCTGCTTCTCCAAAGGTCATAATGTCCAGGGCCACCCATCCTGCCTAGGTTTGCAGTACCAGAATTGGACTGTAGAGGTCAACAAGAACTCATTTGTAAAAATAAGAAACTAAGGGAAGTGCTCACAGATCTGAATGTGCTGCCCTCAAGGGCTGGGTGATTAAATGTGGATAACATGGAAGAAAGTTTGGACAGCATTGTTTATGAACTGGCTTCAAAAGGGCTAAATAAAACCCATCATGGGGACTGGAGAGATGGCTTAGTGGTTAAGAGCACTGACTACTCTTGCAGAGGACCTGGGTTCAATTCCCAGCACCCACATGACAGCTAACAACCATCTGTAACTTCAGTTCTAGGGGATCCAACACCCTCTTCTGACTTCCACAGGCATTGCACAACACGAATGCATTTACATACATGCAGACAACATACTCATACAAATAAAATAATGAAATGTTTTTTAAAAATCACTTGTTTCTTTCGTGTATGTTCATGTGTGCAGGTGTGCACATATGCATGTGTGCCTGTATATGGAGAAGGGAGGACAACATTGGGTGTCATCCTCAGGAATGCCATCTACTTCTTTTGAGACAGGGTCTCTCATTGGCCTAGATCCCACCAATTAGGCTAGCCTAGCTGGCCATCAAGCCCCAGGGATCTGTCTAGTTCCATCTTTACAAGGGCTCACCACCATGCCCAGAATTTTTGCATAGATTCTATAGATTCTCAGGTCCTTATGCTTACAAGGCAGGCATTTAACAACCTGAGCCGATTGAGTCATCCTCCCCACTGATTTCAAGTCTCCATGGAACATGCATCAAAAGGCAAACTCCACATATAGCAACAAAGATTAGAAATAGAAACTAAGACTCTAGTAAAAAGCAAAAGAAAATTAAAAATGAAACCCAAATGCCATCATAGATTTGGAACTTGAAGAAAATCTGAAATTATTTCTTGGTTAGGAAGAAACCATAACATGTGTTGTGAGGGTTTAGAACAGACTACAGAAACTTTATGAATACACGTAAGATGCAGTGAGAGTTAAGGCTACATTTCCTTTTGTCAGTTTACCTGCATTTTACAAGTTTAGATAAGGAGGATGAAGAAGAAAGGAAGGAGGAGAAGAAAGAAAACACACACACACACACACACACACACACACGCACACACACACACGCACACGCACACCCCATGAGGCCAAATAGGAATTCTAAGCCTTAAGTAAAATTGAGGTGAGTTGTTTGGGTTTTATGTCAACTTTGTTTTATAGAAATCCACCCTAGCCAGGTGTGGCGGTGCATGCCTTTAATTCCAGCAATCGGGAGGCAGGAGGATCTCTGTGAGTTCAAGGCCAGGCTGGTCTATATAGTGAGTTCCAGGACAGCTGGGGCTACAGGGAGACCCTGTCTCAAAAAGACCAAAAAAAAAAAAAAAAAAAAAAAAAAAAAGAAATCCACCCTCATGGGTTTGTGATTGTTTCTGTGTCAGGCACATGTGTCAAAGTCTGGATATAAAATGCCCTCTGCAGGCTCATGTGTTTCAATGGGAGGTTGTGGAGTTTTGAGGACATAAGGCTCAGCTGGCAGATGAAGGGCCACAAGGGCAAGGCTTGTGCACTATAGCACAGCCTTGGATCTGGCTTGAGGCTCTCTATTTCCTGCCACCAATTTAACCAGATGCCTCATACTACCACATACTGGATTCCCTCCCCTGCCATCCCTGACATGATGCTCTCAAACCGTGAGCCATGTAAGCCCCTCCTCCCTTAGGTTGATCACAGTGCTGAGAAAAAAAACAAAAAAACTGATATGGCCCAGAACAGATGCCCTAGAGACAGCTCTGGGTAGGTATTTTAGAACTAATAATCATGGGAACAAGCTTTGCTGCAGTAGCTGCTGTTCCTCTACCAAAGGCCCAAATGTTCTATCCTTTATTCTCATCAGCTGGGTCCATGCAAACAGGTCTGCCTCATGCTCATTTAGGAGCAACAGGATTTTTTTTTTCAATTATTGAGAAAAAAATTTTCCCAGTTGGCATTTTTAAGTAGGTCATTTGGAATATTGAGAAACCATGAGAAGTTGAGTTTGAAGATAGAATTTTGGAGATCAATTCTGGCACAACCCAAAGCAAAAAGCCAGCTCTCACTGCTGTGCTCCTTGTACATGCCTAGCAGGAGGCATTGTGTCAGCACAGACCCTGCTTCTGACACGTGGTAGAGTCTCCTGCATCTGTGACACTGACCAGTCCAGACCACCCGGGAAGATTCTGATTCTGGACATTTTTCAACTTTTTCACCAAAGGGAAAAACAAAAAGAACCTGCACAAGTGTCTTTAGGGCAGGGTGTCTTTATATGTAGATATCTCTCAAAGGAGGAAAACTGGCCAAGGTAAGGGCCCCAGGTAGAATGTGAGGAATCTAGAAACCATCAATTCCAACTTGTTCCTTAGAGACAAGGTTTTCATGAAAGAGACTACAGAAGAAGATCCAGGCAAATAAACCAAACCTTGATGAGTTTGCCGTCTTTCCATCTGACTTTAATACACATCTTATCGAATTACATTCAAGGAACACAGCTCTGCAGCTGCAAGAGGCCTCGGCAACCAACCTGTGCCACATCCACTTTCAGCTTACAAACATTCACCCTACTGAGCTGGTTGCCTCATGTGCAACTGCTTCTCTGCTGCACTCGTCCCCTCCCGCCATGGCTGCCAGCCGCTAGAGTCAGCTTTTACCTCTTCTCAAAAATGTTTTTCAAGTTTTGGTCCTCTGCGTCGTTGAGAAGGCTGAGGCCATCTGGGATTTCTGTGAACTCCTCCTGGTCATCGGCTCTGCTTTCGCAGCTCAGCTCCTTCTTTTTCTCCATCTGTTTCTGTAACCTTCTGTGCTGCAGTTCCTGCATGGCCTTGAACTGGAGCCGCAGAGTATCTGGTGAGCCTTTATCTGCTGCCATCATGCCCTAGAGTCAGAAAAGAAGCCAGAAGCTGACTCCACAAAGAGCACCCAGCACAGAGGCCTCACTTGGCTCAGTCATTGGAAGTCAGTCACCTCCAATCAACTCAAAGTGAAGGCTGAGCAGACGCTATCCCCAGCCCTAGGCAGCAGGAAACTCCTCTTGGTCTGATACATTTGACTGGTCCTTTCCTTAGTGGTTTTCAAATCTGGTTAACCATCAAGATCCCCCAAGAGCTGCCAAAATGGAAGGTGTCTGGGTATATCTCCAGATTAACCTGCTTTCAGCATCTGGAAACCTAACCCTAACCCTTTAAAAAAATTATTTATTTTTAATTTATATTCATGAGTATTATGTATGCATGCATGTATGTAAGTATACCTGTGTCATGCAGTGCCCGTGAAGGACAGAAGAGGGTGTCAGATCCCCTGAACAATGTTGTTATCTGTCATGTGGGTCCTCTGCAAGAACAGCCAGTGTTCTTAACAGCTGAGTCCATCTCTCCAGCCCCATCGTTTCTTCTTTTAAAGTTGAGATTCAGATCTGGGCATGGTGGCACATGCCTGCAATCCCAGCATTTCAAATCCCAGCAGGAGGATCAAGAGTTCAAGGCTAGCCTGGGCTACATGTGACTGTGTCTTTTAAAAAACCCCAAATAAATAAACATATAACCAAAGCAAATAATTTATTTGAGGTATAATTTACATACGGCAAAGCACATAAATCCTGAATGCAGCCCAGTGGATCTTTCTACAGACTTACACTTCTGTGGTGCTCCATTACAGGGCTTAGGAAACCAGCCAAGTGTGGTGCTTTGACCTGCTAAGCTGGAAGACCTCTTTGGAATCAAGGTCTTTTTAACACCCCCCACCCCATCTCTTGATGTTCTCTCTCCCCACAGGCAAGGAAAGGGCTTACTTAGCTGGTAAAGAGAAATCTTCTTTACCTTAAGCCTCAGCACTCCAAAGAGAACAACACTGCCTTCCATTCCCTCTTTCAAATTTCATTATTAATCTCAAAGTAGGAGTTTGTCACAAGATGTCTGTTTCAGGCTCACCCCAATCCCAAACAGAATTGTCAGTCCTCTCAATGAGTCCCACAGTGACAGGAAAGAACTGACTCCCAAAAACTGTTCTCTGACCTCCACACCTGTGCTATGGCATGCCTGCACCTACACTACCCCCCACTACATACACATCATACACACACATAATAAATAAAATAAAAAATTTAAGAAAGAAAACTAGAAAAAAGGACAAATTGAATTCCAAATAATTATACAAATAAATAATAAAAATCAGGGCAGGAATCAATGAAACTGAAATGGAGAGATAAAAAAGAAAGTCAATGAGGCCAGACGTGGTGGTGCACACCTTTAATCCCAGCACTTGGGAGGCAGAGGCAGGCGGATCTCTGTGAGCTCAAGGCCGGCCTGGTCTACATAGTGAGTTCCAGGACAGCAGGGGCTACAGGGAGAGCCTGTCTCAAAAAGACCGAAAAAAAAAAAATGTGAAGAAACACTGGTTGTCTAAACAGGCTTATATCTATGAAATAAATAGAACTAACAATTAATAATCCGAGGCACAGATGGTTTCACTGATAATCACTGCCAAATACTTCAGGAGCAAATGGTACCAATTCTCAGCAATATGGTTCAAAAAGAGAAGCAGAGGGGATACCTAGCTCATTCTCTAATGGAGTATTAACCTAATACCCCAGACAGAGGCATTATAAAAGGACCACAGCTCAACAGCTCTCATGAAAATGGATGTAAAAGTCTATGACAAAATATTAGCAAATTGAACCTAACAAGATAGAAAAGAATTGCAGACCAATCTGGTGGTGAATGCCTCGAATTACAGTTACTCAGGAGGCTGAGGAAGGGGGGTTGTAAGTTCAAATTCTCTCAAGGCTGCAGAGTGAGTTCAAGGCTTGCCAGGGCAGCTTAGTGACTCTGTCTCAAAAAAGAAAATAGAAAAAGGGATGGGGGCATAACTCAGTGGTAGAGCACTTACATAGCGTGAGCAAGCCTTGAGTTCAATTCCCAGTACTACTTACTTGCTTAATTAATTAATTAATTAAAAGAATAGTGATCAAGTTACTGTAGTATGCAAAGATGGTTTAACATTAGAAATCAATTCATGTAACCCATCACACAAAGAGGTGAAGAAGAAAAATCACATGGTCATATTAACAGATACAGAAAAAGTACAACAAAAATATAATCCTCATCAATGTACCATTTTTAAAACTCTAAGAAAATGAGGAAAAGAGAAATCTCCTCAACTTGATTAAAAATATCTGCAAAAATCTCTCTAGCCTCTGTCATACTTAATAATAAGAAACTAAACTTTCCCCTAAGAAGAGAAACAAGACAGAGACATCCCTTCTCTCCGTTCGTATTCGGCCTCAGACTGGTAATTCTAGATAAAAGAGTAAGAGAAGAAAGAGAACCGCCATGTAGATGAATTAGGAAATAAAAAGGAAAATGCATTGTCAGAAGTGATATAACTGTCCACACAGAGATCCTCAAGAGGGACTGAGGGGATGGTTCGGTGGCAAAGTGCATGTGTAACATGTGGGAACCCCTCAGCGTTTGATCCTCAGCACTGAAAAAGAAACAAAAATCCCCAAAGAATCAATGAATAAACTCACAGAGCTATGCAATGTGACAAGATATGAGGTCAATACACAAAAGTCTAATGCTTAACTGTGTTCAGCAACAAGCAACTGAAAATTGAAACAAACAAAAAAACCCCACAGCAACGTTGATGTCAACACTGAGACAATTGAAATAAGCACAGTTCACAAAATACATTCAAGATCTTTATGTAGAGAACTAGGTACTCAATGAAAGAAATCAAAGCACTACACAAATAGCTACCTCATGTTCATGGTGACAAGACCAATATTGTTCAGATGTCAGTTCTTCCCAAATAAATATGCAGAATTAACATGTTATGGTCAGTGACAAATAGATATGGACAAATGGATGCTGAAGTGTGCAAGGAGAGGCAAGAAACCCACGACAACCAACATAATATTCAAAAGAACACTGCCAGACTGCAAGAGTCACTCTAAAAGCTACACTTAGCAAGGCAGCTCTCTCACTCTACTGGTGAGAGAGCAGGCACATGGAAGCAAGCAGGGAGCCAGGAATAGATTCATGTAATATAGTCTTTATCAAGGGAGTAAAGGCAGTATGTGGAGAAAGGAGTTTTCAACAAATGCACATTCATGTGCAAAAAATGAATCTAGACACATCCCTTACACTTGTGACAAAGTTAACTCAAAATGAACTATATACCTAAATGTAAAATGCAAAACTCTGAAATTTCTAGCAGATAAGAGAATCTAGGTAACCCCGGGTTTGGTGCTGTGCAGACAACACCAGAAGTACTATTCATGAAAGAAGTGACAAGCTGGACTTCATTATAAATCTTCTGCTCTTGGGGCTGGAGAAATGGTTCAGAGGTTAAGGGTGCTGGCTACTCTTGTGGAAGACCCTGGTTCGAATCCCAGTACCCATATGGCGGCTAACAACCGCATTCTTAACTCTAGGTCCAGGAGATCCGATGTCCTTTTCTGACCTCCTAAGGCATTGCATGATGCGGGTATACTCACATACATGCAGGCAATACACTCATACACATAAAATAAAAATAAATAAATTAAAATCTTCTGCTCTGCAAAAGACAATGTTAAGAGAACACAAAGAGAAGCTGCAGGCTGGAGGAAAATCTGCAGCACATCTCCAACACAGGACTGTAGCCAAAACACACAAAGAATGCTAAAGCACACTAAGAAAGAAACAAACTATGTTAAAGTAGGCAAGAATGAGGAGTTCAGCGCAGTGGTATAGCACTTATTAAACACGCAGGAGGCCCTGGGTTCCGTTCCCAGCATGGCAAAACCCAGTAATTATGACAAAAACCAAACTCTTGCTGAAGGTGTGGCTCAGAAGTGGAGCCTTTGCTCAGCATGTGTGAGGTATAGAGTTCCATTCCCAGAATGAGGGACAAGTGAGACAAAAGATGTGAAGTAGCTCCTCCAAAAAGATAAGCTGAAAGCAGATAAACACATGACATCTTCCATATCCTAGTCCATTAGGAAATGCAAGTCAAGACATACCTTTTAGAAAGGTAGACATCTAGACCAATGCTTCCAGTGTTATGTGGGTGCATTTTCATGTGTGTGCAGGTATACATGTGTGTGAGGGTGCTTAGAGGATAAGCTTGGGTGTTGTTACAAAGGTACCATCTATTTTATTTTTTTTTGAAAGATGTCGTCTTTTGCCAAGTAGGCTAGGCTGCCTGGCCAGTGGGAGATCTGCCTGTCTCTGCCTGCCTAGTTTCTGGATTACAAGCATGCACCAACATCCCTGGCCTTTTTTTTTTCTTGTCTTTTTTAGACAGGGTCTCCCTGTAGCCCCAGCTGTCCTGGAATTCACTATGTAGACCAGGCTAGCCTTGAACCCACAAAGATCCACCTGCCTCTGCCTCCAGACTGTTGGGATTAAAGGCGTGCGCCATCACGTCCAGCCATGCCTGGCTTTTTTATGTGGGTTCTGGGGATCAAGTTCAGGTCCTTGTTGCTTGGACAGCAAGCACTTTAGCCACTGGCACTGGCCAGTGTTCTGAAGCACCAAGCAATCTCATTTATTACTGATGAGAATACTAAATGGTAAAGTCACTTTGGAAGACAATTTGACAGTTTTAAGATCTAAATATAGTCTTACCAAATGACCATATTTATCCAAATAAGTTGAATATTACAAAACTGCATGTGAAATGTCTGCAGCAATTTCCTTTATAGTTGCCCCAAGTCAGAAACTATCAAGAAGTCCTTCAATAGGTGAACACACAAAAAAGTACATTCATGCAAACGGTGATTATTCAGCATTGAAAAGAAATAAGCTACCAAGTCACAAGAAGACATGAAGCAAACTTAAATGTATATTGTTAAGTGCAGAAGCCAGTCTGGGGCCAGTGAGATAGCTTAGCGGGTAAAGGCATTTACTGCCAGGACCCACATGATAGAAGCAAAGAACTGTCCCCTGCAAGTTGTCCTCTGACCTCCATACTCCCATCCATGGTTAACACATGTACTATACCAATCTATGAAGTTCATATGCAAGGAAAGCAGGGGTGGGGTGGGGGGTTGGGCAGGGAATGCTGGATAGCTTTAGCGGTCAACTTGACACACTTGGGTAGAGGAGCCTCAGTTGAGGAATGGCCTCCATCGGGTTGACTGTGGCCATGTCTGTGGGGTATTTTCTTGATTGCTAAATGATGTGGAAGGGTCCAGCCTACTATGGGAGGTGTCACCCTAGGCAGGTGTCTAAAGTTGTATAATAAAGCAGGCTGCGGGGCTGGAGAGATGGCTCAGTGGTTTAGAGGGTTAGCCGCCCTTGCAGAGGACTTGGATTTGGTTTCTAGCACCCACACGGTACCTAACAACTGTCCTTAGCTCTAGTTCCAGGGAATCTGATGCCCTCTTCTGACCTCCGTGGGTACTGCATGACATGGATGCACTTACATACATGCAGGCAATACACTCATAAACATGTTAAAAATAAATAAACAGCAGGGTATGGTGGCACATGCCTGTAGTCCCAGCACTTGGGAGGCAGAGGCAGGTGATTCTCTGTGAGTTCAAGGCCAGCCTGGTCTACATAGTGAGTCCCAGGGCAGCTGGGGCTACAGGAAAACCCTGTCTCAAAAAGACAAATAAATATAAATAAATAAATAAATAAATGTATGTTTTTTTAAAAAGAAAGCACGCTATGCACAGACAAGAGAAGCAAGCCAGTAAGTAAGCAGTGTTCCTCCATGGTCTATGCTTTAGTTCCTGCCTCCAGGTTCCTGCCCTGAGTTCTCTCAGTAATGAACTGTGACCTGGGAGATGTAACATAAAATAAACACTTTCCTCCCCAAGTTGGTTTGGTCAGTGTTTCTCTATCACAGCAACAGAGAAGCAAATTAGAATTGGGTGGGTCCTGAATGGGCGATACTAGAATACCGGCCCGCGGGCAGCTCTGTCTTCTGGCAGTTGCCACTCAACATTTGGCCTCTGGCGACACCTACTTCTTTCTCTCCCTCGGCTCCAGAGTCAGGCCAGCATCACGGCGGGAAAGGGGGGCGAGGGCGGCGGGGGAGGGTGTCGGAGGAGGAAGAAGAAGGATTTAACCTAGTGCAAAGAGTGACACTTTGTTCACACTTGTCCCATCCTCCATGCACTGGGTCTCTGGAGCCCTGCTTTGCCCAAGGTCCCGTGAGTCTTGAGTAGGTGCCTCTCTCTGCACCCCATGGCACTAAGTTTTCCTGAACTGAGAGCCTATAGGTGCAGTGTGTTCCTTAAAAAACAAAACATTTCCTCTCCCCTCCCCTCCTCTCCTCTACTGTTTTTTTGAGACAGATTCTCACCCTGTAGCGGAGGCTGGCCTGGAACTCACTATGTAGCCCAGGCCAGCTTCACACTAGCAATGACGTTCCTACAAACCCCCTTCACCCCTCACACCTACTGGGATTGCAGGCATGAGCCACTACACCCAGCTCAAAATGGGCTATTCTCGAAGCAGTTTTAGATTTACAGATATTGAACAAAAAACAGAGTTTTCATATAAATAGCTCCGCCCCC